TGTGTGTGTGTGTGTGTGTGTGTGTGTGTGTGTGTGTGTGTGTGTGTGTGTGTGTGTGTGTGTGCCACCACAGCACATGGAGATGCAAATCACTGGCACTGAGATTACTGCCTGGGAGGCAGTGGAGCGGTTCATTTGCATACTGAAAAGACCCATACCCAAACACTGAAAGACAGATAATTTACCTTCCATTTACACCATCAGACAGGTGAAGAAAGGCCTCACTCCTTCATAAATAGACATTCAAACATAAAAATCAGCCTTTTAAAACACAATGAAATGTTTCAGATTTTACGTCCCCCACCCTAAGGGAAAGACCAAAGACGTCCTGTACTTAACGGATTGTGAATAGAGTGCCCTGCAGCCTGCCTGCCCCATGGTGGTTGAATACAAAAGACCTCCTTCTGTAAGAGCAATCACTACAGGAGGCCTCTCTGTCCGCACTGCTGCAGCCACCAACCACAATGAAGCCATCAGCACAGCCTGCATCGTCAAACACTTTCTCACACACGAATGTGCATGCAAACACAAAGATGGATGTGTTGCATGAAACAGTTTATTCCTTCAGTCTTTCCAGGCACATGCACGGACGCGTTCCAAAGCTCCTTTCGGCTAATGGGTCCTTTTCATCCCCCCAGTGCTGAGCGGCAGCAGGGTTGGGAGATGAGAGTTCTGATTTGAATATTTTAATTATTTAGTGCAAGGGAGAGCTGAGATGCAACCCACAAGAGAACAGGGTGAGGGTGAATCAAGCTGTGTTTGGGTTTAAACGTGTGCTAAATTAGTACCTTTAGGGACAAGATTCTGTACAACACGACAGGTGCGGTCTGGGCTGTAAATATGCCCGTTTTAACGAGGAGACCATTTTACACTTTAAGGCCAATAAAGTCCAACTGCGTCCAGAGTAAATAAACCTTTCACTGCTGATTACTGAGCCTGTATCCCATGTCTTCCCAGTCTCACATCATTTTCCACACAGTAAAATATTCTTTTTTTTAATATAAATAATAGCACAAACCAGATGATGTAATTCTGTGGGTGCTTAGAAATATCAGAACTTTAGGTTTCTGTAGCCTGAGAAACACGTATTTACTTTTCTCCCAGCAGAACAATCCTGGGAACCGGGCTGACACGATGACGGGGCTTGTAGAGGAAAAAAACCTGTGAATTCCAGCTTCCACACAGAATCTACCAGCTGAAGTGAAGCTTTATTTTATCTATTTTTTTTTACTTTATCTGCTTCCACAGACTGGCAGCTCAGACTTGCTTTGTCCTCTCTCATTCTACACTCGGCTCTGATTTACAGTCTTCAGACAAAGGAAGTCTCTAACCGGCCCCCTTTTTCTGCTGTGCTTTCCCATCCCTGTTGTCGCAAGCACAAACAAAAGAGCTGCTAATGTTAATCAAATCCTGAGAGAGTTTGATCGGTCGGTGAGATCAAATCCTGAAAACAGAACGAAGAAGCATTTTGTGATTGTAGAAACACAGGTTTATGATTCTTCTCACAATGTGCAAATGCATAGATTAAAAAATAAACAATAATAGAAAAAGAAGCCCCCCGTTGTGTTCTCAGAGGCGTGCTGCTCTTTGTCTCATCCTCTGATGCTTTTTATTTAATTGGCGAACACATCAGTGGTCTTTTCACGCTGTCTTTCGTCATCTAAAGAGGTTTTTCACTGAGAAACCTTTTTTTATATAATTTTTTGAAAATCACAGAGTTTAACATTCAGGCTGAAAGTGAAAATAGTCCCCTACACCTATTTCCTGCATTAACTTCTAATAGAAAATAGACGGTGAAACTCTAGGAATTGAAGTCTGACGGATGTACATCACACTGTCACCTAACATTCATGGACTCACCCATCTTGACTCACGACGGGGAAGGCTGTTGTTAGTTTAGCGTCCAGGAAACAGCAGAGAATGTCTCGACTAGAAGAACATAACTGTTAGCATTAGCAACTCCACCACACCGCAGAACTCCTCCAGGCTTATGTTATTTATCGATATAAAACATCAACTTTACAAAGCAAACAGAGTCAGTGTTGGAGTCGCACTGCTGTTGGCCAATCTGAGGTGAAATGTCCAAATATCAGGACTTCAAATCCTCATCGTCTGAAGCTACTTTCTCCTCTGGCTGAATTATTTGTGCTGAAACAGACACATCTGAGCTTCTTTTTTTTTTTTTTACCAGAGTCTGACTTACAAAGCATTCATTCCTACTATAGACCAAATTTATTAAAATACTAATGAAGGATCTCTTTAAAAATAATCCTTCAGTAGGTTGAGAGAAGTGGAGGCTAAGGCATTTAAAGCTGCTATAGCGAATCTACAGATCAAGCTAGGTTTTGAAAGCAAGCACGGTCATGGAACACTCACACCTCCACTTGGGTATCTTACCAGAAGTGCTTCTGCCAGAACCGAGAACCAGTGTTGCCAGCAGAAACGAGAGAGAGCTCTAAACACCAGTCGCCATGCACCAAAAGTCTTTTGTTGTCCGCAACTTCAAATGGTGTTTTTCTTTTCGGGGCTCTTGATAGTGTAACGGGATGAAGGAGCTATTCCACCGAAGGTTATTTACCCTCTCTCCTCGGGAAGTACTAATCTGCTTGAGACTGCTTCAAGGTCATGCATTTGCTTCTAAAACTGTTTCCTTTCCAGCTCAAGAGAAGAAAGAAGACAAACTCTTTCTTTTTAATAAATCAAAGAACTCTATTTTAATAAAGCTAATCAAACAAGGTGTTAGTCCAATAATAAAATGTGAACCAATCTGTGAAATGACAATGTTTAGGATCAGTGGTATTTTAATATTAATAAGTAATATGACTTTAATCTAGCTGCACTACACATCCTGATCCACGTAATGCATAAAAGTCATATGACACATTTTATCTTTCTCATCCAATCAGAACCTTCCTTTCTGAAGCGTGGCATGCTCTCTGGGGTGTTTATAAATCCGTCAAACTCTGATTTGACCATAAATCAAAACATCCAGATTAATAAAACCAGTTCCCACGCCATCTTAAGCCAGTTCACCGCATTCTAAGAGAATTATTGGACCAGCCACCTGGACTTCCTTTTTGAGCAAAGAACCAACAAGCTGGATAACATCTGTTGCACTTAACAACCAAGCAACGGTTCCTTTCAGAATAAAAGCTGAACTCACTGACCCTCTGGGTCCATCTGATGCTGTCAACCAATTCGCTTTTTACCTGGAGACAATCCAAAGACTAATCTGTCGTACTGCTGACGCTGTTTCATCGGCTCCGGTACCGAAAGGGGGGTCCGAGGACCTAGCATTCTGGATCTGTACGGAGGTCTCATCCTAAGGGTATGTGTGGAGCGACAAAATGCCATCTCATTGGTTTATGAAACTCTGATCATAGCTCAGAGCAAAACATCACTTCCCACTCAGACTTGCTTCTCCGGATACGAGAGTTCTGATGACATCACCACTCACACATACACCATCCATCTCACGTCTCATTCACACCTAGATCCATTCATCACCCAGAGTTTAGAGTTAGTCTTGTTTAAAATTGTTTCGAAATAAATCTTCTTAAACTTTTTAAAGGTGACTCTGTCTTCTCTTGTCTCTCAGTTAATACGAAGTGGTTACATAATCCCTGCAATAAAAAGTTCCAATCTTCTGGTTAAAATTACCCAAAGATCCATCAGATGTGATATTTCATATTAAATATGAAATTTCACATTTTATGGTTCATTAAATAGATATAAATGAATCAATCAATAATTTATTAATCCCAGAGGGAAATTAGAGTTTCAGTACACACAATTCAGAGATCAGACATACATGGGCAAGACACATGACAAGAATCGGTGACTGTGGTCATTCGCAACCCTGAGCCGCGCTACCTTAATAGAGATAAGAGGGTAACATGAGGAATTGATTCGGTAGGAGGGAAAAAAGGCACTTCACAGCTACCCTCCCACCAGGAGGGCAGATTTGCTCTGCAAAAAAACACCTCAACAGATATGCTACAGACTTCAGACAACACAACATAACATGAGACTCCAATAGGAAGGTGGGGGGTGGGTGGGGGGCCTGTTTTTCTTTCCAAATCTACTGTAATACCCTTGTTTAAAGGAGAATTTTCAACAAAAAGCGCACAACCATCCCATTCATCACTCTTATCCCCCCCCCCCCCCCCCCCCCCCCCCCCCCCCGGTGAGAGTCATTTGTTGTAGACTGTGAGTGTACACAAATATTTGCTAATGATCCGTTGATTGTGTGGCTCCATAGAGCCCCTGGGAGTGGAACCACCTGTCAGTGTGTGTGTTTAGGTACCAGTGATGTGTGTATATTCTGCTATATTGCACGTCTTTTTGACTTGTTTCTAAATAAAAATGTATCATCATTATATTTACGGCTGCACAATATATCACAAATATATCGTTATCGCGATATCAGCATGCACAATATGCATATCGCAAAGAACAGATAAATATCGCAATGAATGGTCAGCTCTAATGTTTGCTACACATAATGCATTCTGTCAGTCAAGCGGAAGCATTATGTTTTTTTAACAAATCAAATAGAGCTCTTCAGCCATTTGGCCAATCGGGTAGGTTCTCATAGGTTAGATGCCCGCATCCAAGGCGGACGGCATTTAATTTTGATGCTTAGCAAACACCTGAGTTAGCTTTGTTCTGCTCTTTCTGCTGATTCTGCTTTTCCTGGGATCCACTGATTGCCTTTTCCTTTCCCCTTTCCTCACATTTTTTGCTTTTCTCATTTTTACGATTTTTTTTGTCATTTTAAATTTTTTTTGTTTTTGATTATTTTTGTTCCTGAGTTAAGTTTTTATTTATCGCAAGTAATATTGTCATCGCCATATTAATCACTGTGATCGCATATCGTAGGTTTTCCTATTGTGCAGCCCTAATTATATTACATTTGAAAATACAGGACAAGCCAAAAGGAAGGAAAGAATAATAACTGATGACATAGTCAAAGAAATTTTCTCATTTTCATCTTTCAGTCGAGCCATCAAGACGAACCCTGACCTTCTCCCTGATACTCCGTGGACTAATATCCTGTATGATGACTTCTGGGGCACCCTGCTGACTCACAGCGGCAGCCACAAATCCTTCCGCCCACTCTGCACCCTCTCCTTTCGTCTCAACTACACCCTGAATGGCCTGCACCCGTGGGGATACCACCTGCTAAACATCGTGCTTCACGGCCTGGTCACCGCCCTGGTCACCACTCTCAGCCGCTCGTTGCTTGGTGGAGGACTATGGAGTCTTTTAGCAGGCCTCCTCTTCGCCTCTCATCCGGTGCACACTGAAGCAGTGGCTGGTGTGGTCGGGAGGGCGGACGTTGGTGCTGCTTTATTTTTCTTGCTGTCTCTCTTCTGTTATGTGAGACACTGTGGGCTTCGAAGAGATCTGCATGAGGCCTTTCGGAGCCGGAGATGCATTGGCAGCTCAGTCACCAGATGTTGGGGTTGGATGCTGAGCAGCCTGTGGTGTGCAGCTGCCAGCATGTTGTGGAAGGAGCAGGGGGTGACTGTGCTTGCTGTGTCGGCTGTGTACGACCTTTTTGTGTTCCAGAGACTCCACTTTCACCAGGCACTGCGCCTCATGGCCGGAAAGGTAAGCAAATGCATGCTACTCTGCACTTCTCTGTATGTTTTTGTTGGATTTGATTCAAAAAAGTGCTTGTGGAAGCTTTTAGTTGGTGGAATAAGTAACAATAAACATCTAATTTAACCCTCTCACTGTCTTATCGGGTGACCCCTCCAGTAAAGTTGACCTTTAAGTAGGGTTGATGGTTTATTCCTTGAGGTCCATGTTGCAGGGGTGAGGTGGTGCTCACTCCTCACCCCTGCAACATGGACCTCAAGGGATAAACCATCAACCCTGTTCAATGGTCACCTTTCCTGGAGAGGTCTCCCGATGGGACAGTGGGAGGGTTAAATGAACAAAACAGGAAGAATGTATGAAAAAATGTTCCAGTTCTTTGAGCTGCTGCCATTAACTTCCGTTTGCTGCAGCAAACAGATGCAGATTTAGGCAAGGAAATCCTTCTTTATGTGAGTGTTTAGTTTTTTTTCTGTCATGGAAGCAGCTTGAGCAGGAAAATCTATTATTAAGTTGAGTTGTTTTCTCGTTTTAAGGTGACGAAAGGTATGTGCAGACAAACGGCATTTGCCTTTCAGCTACAGCGTTTGGCTCATTTGTCAGGCAACATATCTAAAAATACTCACGTATAGAAGCACATGAATGTGCTTCTGCTGTGGGTAAATTCCTTTTCCCCTTCCAAAATGAAGTTATGAGAGGACAACTTTGATGCAGTGACTCATGTGGTGAGAGGACTTTGGGTTTTGCTGGAAAGCGTCCTCACTCAAGGACTCCTCATCTGATTAGTCTCCACAGCCAACATCATGGCCTTCATAAAATGCATGAATAGTGTGATTAAAAAGTCCCCTTGGGTTTACAGAGCAAGGACAGTCTGGCTCTGAGCATGCAAAGGAACCTTTTTACTGCATTTTTATCTTTTATTCAAAACATCTATAAATACTTCTGTTTGGAGTGTCAGGATTTGCAGCCCATCACAAACATCTTGAAAACCTTCTACTAAAGATTTTACGGAACCTTTTAGGCAACTTTTCCGGTATTTGTTTTACGTAATCATTATCCACAGCTGCAGCGTTTGTGTTCTTGGCAGGTGTGTGTTCCTCGTCAATGGCCCTTAGCAGTGATAACACCTGTCCTTACGGAGTCTGCTCCGAAACCACTTAAAGAGTAGCTATTTCGGATACATCACTGCTTCTAAACATCTTCATTTTCCTTTAAAAAGGGATGTCCCGTTACAACTTTTTCACTTCCGATATGATACCGATATTGCAGCCTTCAGCATTGACCGATACCGATATCAATCTGCTACAATATCAGCACAAATCATACAAACGTAAGCCTATTTTGTAGTGTGGAATGTATGAAAGGCTTGATCAAGTGATATTACCAGTGCTTTAAGTGGAAGAAAATAAGTGCCGTACTCCCCTTAGAAGAATATTGGGGGGTGGGGGGGGGGGCACATAAAACAAGTTAAAGCGAGAGTGTACCATTTCCATTGCTTTATTAATTAGCAATCAGGCAACCAACAACAGCGTAACAGAAATTCTTGAAATAGTGAATCAAAGTGACTTATGCATAATTAAATAAAATATGCAGGAGATCAAAATAATGTTAAAATATACATAAACTAACTAATAAAAACACTAAGCCAATGACTTTAGCTTATATGTAACTTGTTGAAACTACATAGAACATTTTTCAAGCATAATATCAAGTTAAAATCTTCAGATCTTCAAAACTAGTTTAAAAAATGCAACCAGACTGTGCCGTGTCAAAATAACAAATTGCACATACAATAACAACCATTGTCCAAGTCATGTCAGAAAAGGCTCCAGCAGGCCTTGGGGTCCACTTTGTTAGCACTTGGGGCTTCACAGGATGTACATGTTGCACTCCTCCCTGTTGCCAGCCACGACCTCACATAACTTTGTGCATTAAATTGATCCATTGGAGGTCCGTTGCATTTGAGGAAAATCAGATTTGAAAGCCATTTGATGTGAAGTGAGTTTCTTTTATCAATGAGAGTGCCATTCATTGAACTGAAAGCTCGTTCACATTCACTTGTTGATACTGCAATGGTGTGGACAGCTTTAAGAAGAGGCTTCAGGGCTGCTGGTATCTTGGAAGCTTTTAGGTCTTTATACTCCCTAAGTCCTAAGACACTTTCCCTTTCCTCAATTTTGAATCTCTCACATAAACGTCTGACCTCTGCATCGCCGTGCTGAATATCTGGTTTTGCAGGCCAGGAGTCAGACTGGAGGACCTGGATATCTTTTGGGCCATTCCCATCTGTACCGGGTCGGCCCGGGCCGGGTAGCGTAGGTTGTTTACATATCTGGGTGGCCTGGTATTTTTCCGGGCCAACCAAGGCTCATTCTCAGCCCTCTTCTCGAGGGGGTCTGCTTCAGGCCGACCAGGGCCAACACACCCACTGCTGACAGCAAATTCACACCTTCCATTAGAGCAAGCCTCTGATTGGTGGGTAGAATCAGCCCACATGGGCTTAAGGCAAGGATGTGTGGAATCAACCGGGCCAGGCTGGGGCCGACTGGGGCTACCCGGCCCGGGCTGACTTTACAGATGAGGTTCTGCTGGCATGTGAGGAAGATGTTGGAGTCATCCTGCACTCCACATTTACAGCCAGGCTACGGAAAAACTGTGCAGGAGAGATTTTTGGAACCCTTTGATTTTCATGCAGCTTTACATTTCTGAAGATTTTCTTCTCTTCTGCTTCGATTGCCACTTGTGTTTGTGGGCCAGGTGTGGATACCATTGACTCAAAGACACGGATTTGCCAGGCTAGCAACCTGTCGGCTTGGTCCAATGTCACGTCTCGTCTCTGGAGCATTCTTGAGAGGCCACTGAGTTCTGTGAGAGCATCATACATGGCACTTGAGCCCTTTTCAGATTGACATTCTGGAATATGTGTGGACAATTCAGTCTGGTTTTTAACCAGAACTGTGTTTTCAGACACACCACTTTTGTACCTGAACTTGTCCTTTCGGCTGCCTTCACACAGCAGGGAAAAGTTCCAGATGTCTGAGAGGGAGGGGGTGGGAAGGCTGTACCCAGATATTGCGTAAACATAGTGCGGCGGGCGTACATGTGTCATTTACCCAAACAAAGCCATTCAGTCAAACATGGCAGACGAAGAGATAATTCCTCTCACTGATCTGACTTATGTTAAGCATAATTCTGCGCACACGAAGACGCATAAGAGACCAGGATGATGACGCTCAATGGTTAAAGGAATCACAGAAGCGGTGTGATGCGCTCCGTCGCGCGTCTAGGAGACGGTACCGTAGGAGGCGAGCTGCCATGGTTCGCCGCATGCTACAGGAGCGAGCTATGTAGGTGCGCACAGCGTCCCCCGGTCCCCTCCTCCTCCCCCTCCTCCCTGTACGGAACTTGACCTCACCAGTCTGAAGCAGCCACCCTGTCCGTGACAAGTCCAGTCCTGTTACCAGGGGTTTCGTCCGGTTTAATTACGGAAAAGGTTATCCGGATGTTTGTATTCAGACACAAAGGTCTTACGGACAGAGTCCCGAACTTTTCCGTTTTTCATGGCCTGTCTGACGGGGGCTTACGATTGGCCACAAAGGAGATAGAAGTAAGAACGTCATTAAGTCCTTTGTATTTTGCTCTCTCTCTTGAATCCCTGTTGGTATCAGCAGCAGCACTTGTGAAGTGCATCTGCAGAGCTTGATAGTTTTCCCATACTGCTTTCACTGTTCTCTCACTTGAAGCAAGCCAACGCACTGATAAAACACGTCCTAACACAAGAAGACGCTGTGCAACACAATGAGCACTCTCAGTTAATTCTCTTTGATTTTTTGGGGATGCATAGTAGAGGGAGTACAGCTGATCTGAAAAAAAATTGAAGTGATTGATTCCCCCAACCTCCTTCAAAACATCACATACTGCCGGTTCCAGTCTGTGGTTAGAGCAATGCCAGACAAACAAGTTAGGAAATTTGCAACAAAGCTGTGCAGCTACTCCTGCTTTCCTCCCAAGCATCACTGATGCTCCGTCACAAGCGAAGGCCAACAAATGGTCCTGTAAAAAATAAGGGTCAGAGCCATTTTTTGAAGACATTCTAACAGTGCATCAGTTATTTCCTTTGCTGAGGTCCCCTGCAGCTCAATCAGTTCAAAAAATATAGTATCTGGCTCTTTACCTGCTATAGCTGAGCGAAGGCACACAACTAACACAGACTTTCCACTTATTGTAGTGGATTCATCAATGAGCACACAGTTTTCTACGATTCATCACAATGCCATTAACTATTTTCTCTTTCATTTCAGCTGCAATGTGATCCAGTATGTTTGCACATGTGTTTTTTGAGTGCAAAACTCGGCCCATATTCACCCCATTTAAAACTTGCAGTTGGACATCAACTGGCATATCTGTGAAGGGACGCCTATGCTTGCCAATCTTGTATGCTGTTCTAAACACATTACAAGTGAAATTATAATCAGCCTTTTGCATGTCCTCAATGTGTCTTTCAACTGCTTTCTTGTGGAAAATTTGAGTCTTTGTGTTCTTTAATTTTCTTTCGCAGCGAGTTGTTTTGTGCAGCCTTGTCCTTTCCAAATGAAGAAACTAAGCACCGACTCCACTCCAGTGACACTCTGTCCTTGCTGCATATCCATGTGTGCATTTATGTGGCTACAAGTACTACAACTTTTTATTTTTGCTGATTAGCCACCTATACGTTGTGGAGAAATAGGGTATCTGTGCTTGGGACCAACATTCTGGCCACTATTGTTCAATGTCATTGTTCTTGTCAGCGGATGTGTCATTAGCATACTCAACAGTAGTCGTGGAAACCTCAGCACTGTCACTGCTGCTGCATTCATAAGCTTGCGTCTGGTCTCACTCTGACCGGCTGCAATATTATGCTGGCTGTGGGAGTTATGATCCTGGGAGTCCACCTCTGACTCTGATCGTTTTCATTTTGAAGCCTTCAGCCACGAGACTGTTGTAGTTTGGTGTGCTCTTTCCTCCTCGATTTC